TGGTATTATTTTGAATATCTGTAGTATTGCGTTTACTCTTCAGAGCTGTAAATCTGCATTATTTAAAATTTTATTTTTTAATATTTTCTAAAAAAGTATTTTATATTCATTAAAAAAGAGAAGAAATCTTCAGTACCTAAAGCCAAATCTCTTTTTGAAATACCTTCCTCTTATGTATTAACAAATCATCATTTATTAATTTCTTAATTACATATTTAATAGTGGCTCCAAATTATTTTGTTCCACAGGACAACTGATATTAATACAATGAAAATTTTGCGCTGAAATAGTTTATGTTCTGAAGCTACCTGCTAACTTCGTACTCTAAGTACAACATGTGCTCTAAATTATCCGTAAATTAGAATAGGTAACTCTGATAAGTAAAATTAAAAATAGCGCATATCTAGATACAAGCAGGAATTAAAATCAGAATCAAGTAGCTGACGGTTACATATGAAAAAAGAAAAATGGAATAACTTGAAATTTCATGCTTTCTTTCTAAATAGAAATATTTTTATTAAAAAGAAATGTATAATTTCTGACTGCTACAGATGAATCGTTTTTAAATTTTGCTTATAATAAGTCGATTATTTGTCTCGGATCAAGCGACAGTACGTTAGTACGTTGCAGTCAGGTACCCACGCGTGAAGCGCTACCCTAGTATATCTGACTGAGCAATTTTCGATCAAATGCAGTTCCTAATTTGGCGCCGGTATGATCATACGTGAAGATGGCATAATCTGGTGAAGATCCCGAAGAGACTGGCCACCGCGGTGGCTAACACGCCCCATCGGGCGAGGGCAAGTGCGGAGTAAGAAAAAGAGATGCCTTTTGCAACCAAGTCCATAGAGTCCAGTGTGACACACATAGTTTACAACACACAAAATTATAAGCATAGCGAGCAATTGAGTACATATATGCAGAAATGAAAAAAATAGTATATTATAATAAACATGGTGGTAATTTGCGAATTTAAATATTTACAATTACATATCAGAAATATTGTGCATAAAGCAAACATTAGTTGGAAACAACAGGTTATATAAGATGTCTTAGTACGGCCCGAGGCCTTTTTTTGAAGGCCTGGCTGTTATAATTATAATTCAATACAGGTATGGTGGGATTACAAACAGTGGGGATTTTTTGATAAAAACTGAGGGCCAGAGTGGCCATATATTCCTTTATATATGGTATGTTAAATTCGCGGTGGATTGCCGTGTTTCTAATAAACCACGGACAACCCACCGCTTGTCTTAGCACAATATTCTGTAACACTTGCAATTTTTGTATATGAGTGTCATATGTATACCCCCAGACAGGGCAGGCATAAGTGATGATGGAACGCAACATGGCTTTATAAATGAGTAATTTGTTATCAATAGAGAGAACGCTGTTCCGGGCAATTAAGGGGGCAAGTGTAGCTTTACGAACCCGGAACTTTGCAAGAAGTTTTGTAATGTGAGGGGTCCATGTGAGAGTTTGGTCTAATGTGACACCTAGGTATTGGGCCTGCTTGGTCCAGGGGATAGGCGTGCCATACATTTTAATGTGGATGTCATAATCTATGTTCTTTTTCCTCGTGAAGAGGATGGCATCTGACTTTTCCACATTGATACTGATTTTCCATGCCGTTAGCCAGGACTCCAGTGTGTGAATGTGATTTTGTAGCTGTTGTATGACTGAGCCGTGAGATGCGTTTTGTGATAGAATTGCCGTATCATCAGCATACATTGCTAGGGTGGTGTGTGGTGTGTGGGGGATATCGTTCGTGTAAATATTGAAGTAGAGCGGGCCCAAAATGGACCCCTGTGGGACCCCAGCCCTGATAGGCCTGGGGGTAGAGATGGTGTTGTTAACACGAACGACAAAGTGTCGACCCATAAGGTAAGAGTGTGTGATGTGTGTGATGTAATCTGGGAAGCCCAGGTTAATGATTTTGTATATGAGGCCCTCCAGCCAGACTCTGTCAAAGGCCTTGGAAACATCAAGAAAAATAGCTCCTGTGATCGACTTGTCCTGCAGGCCTTGTGACACCAGTTCAGTAACTCTGTAGAGTTGGTGTGTCGTGGAGTGCAGCTTCCTGAAGCCATGCTGTTCATTGATGATTAGATTATTTTCATTTAGGTGCTGTAGCAACCGTTGCTGGATGAAGAATTCAGCAACTTTGCTTGTAGATGATAACAAACTGATGGGCCTGTATGACACAGGGTCTGTGACAGGTTTTCCAGACTTATGAATTGGTGATATGACAGCAGTCTTCCATGGCGAAGGAAAGTGCCCCAGGTGTAACATGCTGTTTATGATTTTGGTCAGTTTTAGGATCATAAGGGTGCCCATATTTTTTAGCATCTTGTTACTGACAGAGTCGAGTCCAGGACTTTTCTTGGTCTTGAGTTTCATGATGTATTCAAAGACCTCTGAAGGCCTGACAGGAGGAGTGTTGTTTGTGCGTGGTTTTGAGAGGAACTTTGTTAGTGTTTGTGATACAAGGTGTTCTGTTTGAGAGTGGGATATGTTGTTAGTGCAGAACTGAGTAGCATAGTGATCAGCAAGTGACTCAGCTTTCTCAGTATCGGTGTAGGCAATTCCTTGAGGGCCAGTAAGGGGCGGAATGTTTGTGTGGCATCTCAGAAGCTGGTTGGTAGCTTTCCAAATATTATCTTCATCCGGGGAGAGTGAAGAAAGGTAAACGGCCCAGTCGTGGTCTGTTTGTTTACGTGTAAGGGCCCTGACCTGGCGGTTAAGCTGGTTGAGTAGTGCTCTATCGGGAGGGTATCTTGATTGCTGCCACTCTCTCCTTGCAGCAGCATTTCCTTCTTTGAATGAGTTTGTTTGATTTTGAGTATTGTTTGGTTTGATTTTATTACTATTACATATAGGTTTGCTATTGTCTTTCAGGGCATTCTGAAGCTGAGTGGTGAAGTCACTAACTATAGCATCTAACTCATCGCCTGTTTGTGCTGTTGGAATGTGTATTGTGGTGTTGTTTAAGGCTTTGGTATATCCAGACCAATTAGTAATAAAGGCCTTTTTGTGTGGTGTGTTACAGACGGTAAGGTCAAGATCGATTAGAACTGGGTTATGGTCCGATGACAATTCATTCAAACTGTCAACGGATTTAAAAGTACAACCCTTGAGCAAAAAAAAGTCAAGGATCGAGGCAGACCTTTCGTCGTAACGTGTTGGGGTTTGTGGAGCTGCAATAGTGATACCGGCCTTAGTAGCGAAGCGGTGTATCACGTTTCCAAGGAATGTGTTGTGAGTGCAGTTCCACGCGCGGTGTTTTGCATTAAGATCTCCACCTATGATGACTTTACTGTTGAGTTTAGCAAGTGCGTCAAAATCTTGCACAATGTTTACATGTGATCTGTTGTTAGAAGGGACATAGGCAGAGATAAAAGTGACTGGTCGTGTGGTGAGTGGTGTGACTGTGATAGCTAGGGCTTCCAGGCCTAAAAGCTGTGGCAGTGTTGTTTGGTAGTGGGCAATGGAGCGCTTAATTAGGATAATTTCCCCCCTCCAGGGTGACGGTTGATTCTCCTGCGATCAAGACGATAGAGCACATAGTTGGCAATTTCAAATGACACTGCAGGACCAAGCTTGTGTTCCTGTAGGAGGAAAACATCAGGGCTATACTCATTTATAAACAGACGTAATTCATCAATTTTGTGGGTTAAGCCATTTGTGTTCCAGGTTATTACTCGGAAGTTACAGTCCATAATCTAATCAATTCGCTATCCCGTGAATTTCTTCAGAGATAAGGTGCAGGACTTGCATCTTATCAAGTAAATTGTTACATTTCCTTAACTCAGAAAGCTTGCTTTTATAAATTTTTATAACTTGGCCTAGACCGTAACCAAAAATATTTTGTACTTCTGTCATTATTTTAAATATTTCAGAGATATCAGAAATACTGTTATTATCAACATTATATTCATGATTTTTGGTATTGCCAGTATGTTCACTTTTAGCCTGATTATTAATAATTTTTTGTTTGTGACTATTATCCTACGCAGCAGCAGACGGTTGTACAGAATTTGAGGAGTCAGCATTTGCCGTATCAGGCTCAGTGAGTACTTCCATATTAACTGGTGGAGTAGGCTTTAACGCTTGGGCGTAACTGAGCCCAAGTTTGGTAGTAGAACTCTTGAGTGGTTTTCTGACAGATGGAAATTTCAGGCAACCACGATATGAGGCCACATGAGGCCCAAGGCAGTTTGCACATTTTGGAGTTTCTATTCGGCCCTGGTAGTCACAATTGCCAGTTTGATGGAACCCCACGCACTTGACACATCGCGGTGCAACGTGGCAGTTTTCAGATGAGTGATGCCATTTCTGGCAATTGTGACACTGGGGGATCTGATTTTTTGCAATATACTTTTCAACTTTAATGCTAAAATACATTAAGTAATTTAGACTATAGATTTCATCAGTATTCTTATCGGGTATAAGCTGAACCTGATACAACGGCATTGGTTTTTTTGTTTTGAACTTAGTTAATTGTACGACTTTGTGTACATTGAAATTGGTTATCATTTTGCTCATTGTTAACGTCGCAAAGAGTAGCGGAATAGTAGCGCCATCTTGTGGTCAGTAGAAATTTCACGGAGGCCACCGAAAACACAAAAGAATATTTTCACACTGGTAGGCCTTGAGTATAAGTTAGCCTTGGTTATATTTAGACATTCATTTATTTAAACTGATAGGAGTCATAATCAATTTTGCAGTTCAACTTAAACAAAAATATAATTTTAAGGAACAATGTTGTAAGTACAGGATCACGTGTATTGTATTTTGGACTTTGTTATTTGTTTGTTACGCTTTATTAATAATATTTTTCTTTCATTACATCCATGCAATCGATTTTTCTTTGACGCATCGCATTTATACAACGCGGAGAACGTTACAACTGCTTGTTAGTTAATTGCTACATACTAATAGACAACCACTATTTTCATTCGTTTGTTGTTTAGTTGCAATTCCAACACCAAGTTTTAATTATGCTCTGGTTTCTCTTCATTATACGAGCTAATCTTTCGCCTTTTACTAAAGATTACCGTGGTGAGGAACATTACAATGAGCTTAAACTGAATTCTTGAAATCCACCCTCTAATAGGTAGAATATTTTACATTAACTCTCTGTGAAGACATTAGCGTTTGCATCACAAAAGGGCGCGATTTTGTTATCTTTATGTCAGAAATTTCTCATGGGTAGGAAATGGTAAACCCGTTTTTGCTGGGAAGGCAGCGAACGATGTTTGTTTACATTTGGAAGTTCAGAAAATTTCAAAGTAAGGCATTAGGCAGTTTTTCTGTTTGCAATTTAGAGCAAATAGACAATTTGCGTTTATAAATCCCCGTTTATCTATTTGAAGTTCAGAAGATTTAAGATGCAGTAGTATGTTTAACACAACAGATCGTAATCTTAAAACTTTTAAATCATTTAAAGTTAAGTTTAAATCACTACATTTAAAAGAATAAATGTGATAATTCGAAAATGATTATTTGTTCTGAAAAAACAGTAAACCATAGTTTTAAAATATATCTAAAAAACAATACATCGGTAATTAAAAATAATATTTATAGGACATTATTATATTATTAAAAACTTTTTATGAATGCATAATTATCATCGATTAACTGTTCATAAACGAATTATTTTATTATAATTAGATTTTTTTTTTTTTTTTTAAATAATGCTTTGAAAAATTTACTGTCATGGGTGGGGTTTACATTAAGCCTTAAAGGCAATTCTTATTTGAAAAAGGAATATCCTTTCTTGTGATGTGGTCCATCATAGAGGAATGATTGCATAAAGGAGAATGCACATGTGTAGGATTTTCCAAAGATAATCTTACTTGGGAAGTATTCTTCTTAATATTACTACATTAGGGATCTCCATGGAGAACTTTCCAAAGGAATTTGCCATAAATAAGAGATGTCATTTTAGGGAGTATTTTATTATTTATTTACGGGATAGTTTAATATTGCTCATTGCACAAGTACACATAAAGCAGTATTTCAGGTCAGCCCTAGAGGAATGATTGCATACATTATCACTTGATAACACAGCTTATTTCTGTTTTCTCTTCTTATTTAATTATTTTTTTATAATATCCGTGTTTACTTTTAAGTAAAATAATTTTTTTTTTAAATTGTGCATGGTTGAATATACCCAGTTGTGATAAATATATAAAACTTGCTATTTACTAGGTCTTTCTAGTATTATTTTTGCGTTTATATTGTATATAGTTTATTTTTGGTTTGCATGCATAATTCATGTGGGGGACGTTTCTAAATTACTTTTGTTTTCTATTCTTAATTATATTGTCAATTTACATTCAATTAATATTTTAATTCCTAGGCAATTTACTTACTAAATTTCTCAAAATTCCTATTAGTTTAAGTTTCTCTTTTAGTAATTCACAACATTTGGATTTACTTTTGGTTTTGAATATTTCTATACATTTGCCTATATAAAGACGAAACACAAATTGAGTAATTGAAGAGTTAGGTTTAGAGGTAACTTCCTTTTTATAAGATCTGTCTCTTGCCTGCTCAACAATCATTCACTTCTACAAATTAATTTGGTCTTAAAACTCCTTTAAAAAAATTTTTGGCATTTTTTGCAATATTATTTTTTTCATGGTTTTAAATGCGTGCACTTAATTTACATACACTAATTAATCTTTTATATTTGCAATTACAATTTCGTAATTAAATTTTAAATTTAAATTAGCTTTATGCGAATAGAGAATATTTGTTAAATTCAAAATTTATTAAATATACTTTTGATTGTAATATTGATTTTTATTTCTTAATACAGCACTTTTTATTTCAGTCAAACCCAGACACACACTGGTAGAGATTTAAAAAAAAAGAAAAAAGAAAAAGAAACTTTATTTTCTCGACTTTCTCTCTCTCTCTCTTTTTTTTTTCTTTTTTTCTTTTTTTTTTTTTTTTAAATACCTAAGAAACTTTTTCGAGCTAAAGTGGCTTCCTCCCTCTAGTGTGCATCATGACAACCATTTATGCAATTTTCCTATTTCTGCTCACTAATTAGATATTTTTCTGATGTGGAGGTACATGGTTTTGCACCATTAGTACTCCATAACTTATAATCATTGGCATGCCGATTTTCAACAGATTTTGAGTATACATCAGCCCTACATATATATATGAGTAAATGGGAAATATTTTCACTCTAGGCTCACGTAGAAAGGCTGTTATAATGATGATTCAATCAAAATTAACTAAACTATTAAACTAGCTACTATCATACACTGTTTAAGATAGTAAAAGAAAAAGATAAATAGTGACAAAGTAATGAAAACGGAATTCTCAGAAGCATATTTTCAAAGCACAGATAAATTAGTTAAGAATTACACTACTAAAATGTTTTTTAAAAATTTAGATTAAAAGAGTAGTTGTTGTGAAATGAACTGAAGTAATAACCGGCGCGAGGCGCTGCTGCTTGTGACGTCAGCCTGCGTGCTGAGTGTTTTCGAATGGGTTTTGCGTGTAGACGAACGAAAGCTGAGCTCGGAAGAGTGATACTGTTTTGATGGAAATAAAGAATGATTTATTAAGAATTTTTTTGTCTTTATTCATAATGCACCCAGCCTCGGGTAGAGGCAGGCCCGCAACTGAACGAACTGTTTTAAATATATTTGATTTATATATTTTCTGTGTTCTTCGTAACATAGTGGTACCCTCGGCGGGACCGGGTGCTTTGAATTAGAATTTTCCGATTGAACTTTTGATATTGAATTTCGATTTTGAATATACTTTGAAGATGGATTTGATCGCTTTAAAGGCTCAAAGAAAAGGACTTAGAATTGCGTTTTCGCAAACCTCAAGGAAAACCGAAAGTGAATTAACTAAAGAAGTAAGAGATTTGAAAAATACTTTCGATTTTGAAGTGTCAACTTTGTGATAAATTCCAGAGACTTGACGTATGCCAGAGTGCTATATCGCAGCAAATTCTGCAGACTGAAGATGGAGAAAAATTATTTAGTGATGATTTTCAAGAAGCGGAGAATTATCGAGATAAGTTTCTAGAACAGTGTGCTCAAATAGATGCGGAAATACAAGCCTCCTTCTCCTTCAAATAATTCCGAATCTAGGAAATTTAAATTGCCTAAAATTGAGCTTAAAAAATTCAGTGGTGAAGCTAAAGATTACCTGACTTTTTGGAGTCAGTTCCAGAAAATCCACGATGACAAAAGTATCGCCGATGAAGATAAAATGCAGTATCTATTGCAGGCCATGGAACCCAAATCGAAAGCAGAACGCCTAGTCCTTAGCTTCCCGGCAACGGCAGCTAATTATCCTAAAGCCATCGAACAACTAAAAGAGCGCTTTGGACGCGAAGATTTACTTGTGCAAATCTATGTGAGAGACTTGTTAAGCCTAGTGATGAAGAACGCTGTAACCGGAAGAGCAAAAACGGATCTACCCTCCCTGTATGATGAACTAGAAGGAAAATTGCGAGCGTTGGAAAGTTTGGGGAAGAACCCAAGAAAAATATGGGGATTTTTTGACCCCTTAGTGGAAAGTTGCTTACCAGAAGAAGTACTGATGGCATGGGAAAGAAGCAGAAATCACGACTCCATTGAAACTAAAGGGAATCGATCTTTGAAATATTTAATGAATTTCTTAAAACAGGAAGTTAAGGGGGAAGAGATGGTTCTCCTCGCAAGAACTGGTTTCGCTTCCCAACAGAACCATCGGAAAGAAAGATTTTAACCACGAACAGGTAAAGCAAAATGATCCCGTAACAGCATCAGCTCTAGTAAGTCTTGAGAATTCAGGTAAGAGTGTTCCGAACTGTAATTTTTGTGAAAAGAAACATTTTAGTGAAAAATGTTACTCTGCAAAAAAAAAAAAATGACTTTAGCTGAAAAACAACAATTGTTGTTGAAAAAAGGTGCTTGTTTTTCTTGTCTGAAAAGAGCGAGTCACATTAGTAAATTTTGTCCTTTCAAAGGTAAGTTAAGTTGTTCTATTTGCAAAAGTTGTAATCATTTTGATGTAATGTGTAATCAAAAGCTAAAAAATAATGATCAGATAAATGTTTCAAAAGAGAGTTCTCTTTCTAACTGTGGCAGAAGCGAAACTGTATTTTTGCAAACGCTTTGCGTTCGAATTCGGTGTCAAGGTCGCGAGAGAAAATTATTCGCTGCATAATTGATAGCGGAAGCCAAAGTAGCTACGTTAGTGAAAATATGATGAGTCAGCTTAAAGCATCTCCACTTCGGGAGGAGACAGTTATACATGCACTGTTTGGGGGGGACGAAACGAAACCTAAACAACATGAAGTGTTTTCGGTCGAGGTCAGCAATTTAAAAGGAACATTCGCATGTAGTTTTGAGGCATTATCGGAAAAAAGATTTGCGGTTTTATTCCTAAGGTTAAGGATAAAGAGATTTTGAATGAATTAAAAGAAAAAGAAATCGAATTTTCTGATCCATTGCGAAAGGAAATTGAAATTAACCTTTTAATCGGAGCAGATGTTATAGGAAAATTATTGACGGGAAATTCTATTGAATTACAGTCCGGGGTAACGGCTGTCGAAACGAAACTTGGGTGGACGGTATTTGGAAAACGAAATTCGGGTGAAAAGGATAATATTTTGAAAACATTTTCAATGCATGTCAGGAGAATTCCTCTGAATGAGTTATGGGAACTTGAAAAAATAGGAATATGCGCTCCAAACGAAACTGTTAAAATGAATGAAAGTTTTAATTTATCTGAATTTGAGAACAAAATGAAAATTCTTCCAGATGGAAGATATGAAGTAGAACTTCCGTGGAAATGTGATACGACACATTTAACCGATAATAAAGAATTATCCTGGAAAAGGTATCAAAAGATGATCTATAAACTCAGATGTAGTAAATTTTTCGATGATTATCAAAATGTGTTCAAGGAATGGGAAAGGTTGAATATTATTGAACGCGTACCAGAAAACGAATTGAATAATGAATGTCATTATTTGCCGCATAGGCCTGTAATCAAATTAGGAAGTGAAACCACGAAAATTCGTCCTGTTTTTGACGCTTCTGCATCTGAGAAAGGGAAACTCTCTTTGAACGAATGTTTGTGTAAAGGAATAAATCT